CCAGCAGCAGCCGCTACAGTGTCCGCTGCAGGCTGTACAATGCACCCATGCAGGCTATCTCTGAGGGTGAAACAGAAAATTCTGATGGGAGCCCACATGATGACCGATCCTCTCAGAGCTCAACATAGGTGGCCCATGCCAGGCTGGCTGTCAAAGGCCAAAACCCTTAGTCTGTGAGGATAGGGAAACAGAACAGAAGACTAGGGAGAAGTCAGCATATCACGGGGTACCATCACTTACTACCAATGAATTCCTAACTATTTGCTGGGGAAACAGAAGGTGGTTTGGTCTTTCTTATTTTCCATGTTTTTAAGTAGCTGCACTGTCTTTCATATTTTTCTTTAGCTTAGTTTGATTTACCCAATGTCATTCATTTTGATAATATAGAATTTTAAAATGTCTGCTTTTCATGAGACCTAGAAAAAAATTTTCCCAGAGCTGCCTATTCAGAAATCAATACCCTCACTGTCATAATTCTTAAGAAGATGAAATTACTCTGGAGGTTTGGTATTTTTTTACATTAAAATGAACTAAAGCAAAATTTAGAAGAAAGAACTACACACATGTAAATACCATATTTTTGATAAAAATGTGTAAATAGATTTATCAGTGACGAGTGGACATGTGGCCAATTATCTACCGCACACCAACTGTTTATAGAACACAACAGATAAAGTGTAATAATTGTATTCTGTGAATACCATTTTCATATCAAATACCATATTTAAATGTCCACCAATATGATTTCTGAGTGATAAACCTCATATATGAATTTTAAACTGATGAAATAAAGGAAATCTTGAGGTCATATACTGAAATGTGATTAATTTAAAATAAGGAATTCAGACCTAACCATTTTGTAACAAATTGCAGCACCAAACAAGCTACTAGTAATAAACACGTGGCTATGATTTACCATGTGGTAATTTGGACAGAATGAAAAGCATGCTTTTGATTCTTTTTAATAAATGAGAGAAATCATCATTCTCAACACAAAGCCCTGAACAACAGCATTTGACAGTGTCTTTTAAACTTTAATTTTTCAATGGATTGCTTTAAAGAGAATGAGCAGGGAAAACTAGTTATTTTTAGGTTATGTTTTATATTGGGCTATTGGAGACATAAACAGTCATAATCTAATGACTATAATCTTAAAACTCCTTAAACAGTCTAGCAATTAGCTCCAGGTTCTTTAACTAACAAAAATAAAACATAAGCATGCCACAGAGCTGTTGATTTATCAGTAAATACCTGCAATGAGTTTTCAGTGAAGCTTCTCTCTGTGCTGATGAGATTTGTGCTACCTAAAAATTAACAGATATGACACTGTGAACAATGTAGTTGGGAAATAGGTATGTGTATATGCATTATTTATATTCACTGTTAAGCTGGGAATGGGGAACAGCTCTGGTTCACAATGCTACATACAACTGAGTTTTTGTCTGATTTTACTATATCTGCTTGATGGCAAAAGGGGAAGGGTGGTGGGTGGGAAAGGAAATGTCAGGGCTAGTGCTCTGATAAAATGAAGGCAGGGAAACAAGCTGAATTACTTGAAATTACTTGAATTTTCTTTTCTTAAATCTGAAAAAACACGTAGTTACAAGATGAAATCTGCAAATAGTTTTTAAGCCTCTGATTTTAACATGAACTGATGCTAATGTTTGAAATAAATCAAAAATATAAGCAGTTATGTACTTAGAATATGTTTTGAATGGGAGAAGATAGAAAGTGGAGAGAACTAAGGAGGGGTATGGGCTATAAAAGAATAGAATGCAATTGTGATAGAACATACCAGAGTTACCAAGAAATTGATATGCAGCTGGCTTTAAGCTTATGCAAGTGGTATTAGGGAAAGTAGGATGTGTGAAAGGGGGGTTGTGGTTTTGATTTTATTCATGCAATATGAAGGAGAAAGCCTGGTCTAAGAAGATGCTGTCTTTCAAAAGAAACACTTTCTAAGATGTTACAGATTGAGAATTAGAGAATCTGATTGCTGTTGGAGTTTTTTTTGTTTGTTTGGAAAGAAAAAACAGATCTGGCTTCTACTATTTGTTTTTACTATTAAATTGTATTTGTTAATTTCTTGTCATCCTTGTATGTAAAATGGGTGTGGGGGTGGCGGGGTAGAGGAGGGAGAATGTGTGTGTGTGTGTGTGTGCGCGCGCACGCGTGTGTGCACATGTGCGTGCACATGCACACTTTTGGGCTGGGATAGATAAGCTACCTGGTAAAGGGTACATTTGAACATTTACGAGGTGTTATACTTTCTATTAAATGAAAAATGTTTGGGGGTTTGAAAAAAATGGACCATAATTTCTCATTGGAACCCTTTAGTTAAGAGAGCCAGCATGGTTTGACACTACATGGGAACATGAATATCTTTTTCTCATGCTTTGAAAAGTACACTTGGAAAAATTTTAAAAATAAAGTTTTTAGACAAATGCGATAAGAAACAGTCATTTCCAGTCACACAATAGGTGATCTTTTGTAATTTTCATAAAAGCAGTTCGTTTGCAGTACGACTTTGTGTAGTTAGGTGTTTTTTAAGCGTAAAGAAAGGTATGTGGGCTTTAAAAGTGATTCTAAATCTTGAATAGAAAACATGAATTGGCTTTAATAAATGTCACCTTTTTATTATTGACATTAATTTAAGTAATGGTACCATGTATATTTTAAAGTACATATTGACTTGAATTGTGAGGCAATAAGATACCTTCTGTATGTAACGATCACAGAACTAACCCTTATAATATAGTTTTACTTATTTTGTTTACTCTAAAAAAAATCTATAGCAGAGTTTCTCTATTTTATATTTCATAGATTTAAAAAAAACCCAAATAAAGATGGATTTTAAATTCACTGTGGAAAATAGGATTAACAAGCTGAGTAAAAAAGCAAGGAATCCCTTAGTAATCTGGAATATTCTACATGGCTTGATTACATAGTATATAAGACCAAGATTTAGAGGACCGTTTTCAACATCACTGCCATCTTGAAGCAGGGTACACACATTAGGTATTGCAAAAAACATCCAAACTTTTCTTCTGTTGTTTGCACTGATGCTAATTTTTTGTTCTTTTATGTTTATACAACATGACTATGTTGTGTGGGGGGGGGATTTTTTCCTTACTTTTTTTTATGTTTTGGCTAAGTAGAGGACATGGACTAGTTATAGCAAACAAAACACACTGTTTGCTCTTGTCAAAGGTCAGTGAGTGAATACATTTGCTGCAGTGGTGGCTGACTTAGAAAACTAGATCATGACAAAGATTTAAACTATGAAGAAGGTTACAGTGTAACTATTTTGGTACTAGAACCAGTTCATGCTGGCCAAAAAGACAATGGTTTATGGACTTGCATCCATTTTGTATTTTTGTAATATTTGTAAATATGAACTTTTGCAAAAATGGTTTCTTTTGTAAGATGTTTTCAACGTTTACATTCGATTCAAGCCTTTGTATATTTTAGAGCTGTGCAACACTTTAAGTCTTGTATTTATTTTTAGTAAAAATGGTGACAATTTCATTGTGAACCCCTCTCAAAAAAATGTACCAGGAAAGTTTGATTACCTAGAAAGTGTGTATAGAAACTGCAAATAAACGTGACTGCAATCAAAAAATTGGTTTCTCTCTTCATTGTTATATATTGCATTCTTGGGTTTCACAGAAGCATTTTAGAGGGAACGGGATGTAAAGGAGAGGAACTGCTATGGCAAAACTATGAGCAAAATAATAATAATAATAATAATAATAATAATACCGTGTCTACAATATTCTAATCTAGCTTTGTATTTGATAGGAGAAAGAAAACATTTCCAGTGTCGGATATACTTTCCTTGTAGACACTCTCTGGTCCAGGAAAAGATTTCTGGCTTTACTTTGAAATATTCACCTTCACTTCTGTTAAGTACTCAGACTGCCTCCTTCCTATGATGGGCAGCCTTGATATACATATATGTAAGACAATATGCCACTAAATAATGTCATGTACCCTTTATTACACAGCAAGTTCATGTGCCAGGTACTGCTCTAAGTGTTTTGCTTACTCTAATGAATGTACTCCCCACATTGTGCCCCCCTTTTTTTATCCTTACCCGAGGACATTTTTCCATTTTTTGTTCAGAGTGTGAGGGAGAGAGAGGAAGAGAGAGAGAGAGAGAGAGAGAGAGAGAGAGAGAGAGATCGACGTGAAAGGGACACATCGAGTGGCTGCCACCCACACGACCCAACCAGAGCCGGTGAAAAACCGCAACCGAGGTATGTGCCCTCAGTGGGAACCGAACCGGGGTTTCTCTGTAGCACAGGTTCACGCTCTAACCGCTGAGACAAACCGGCCAGGGCCCACATTGTGCCCATTTTATAGATGAGGAAACTAAATCATAGAGCGTTCATTGCCGAAAGTCCTAGCGTGACTAATTGTTGAAGCTGGGGTTCCAACCCAGAAAATATGGCTACAGGGTCTGTATTTGTACCAAACCACAACTACTAAGGTTGCTCACTATGGCCCCGCCCCACTCTCCCTCAAATTCTAATACTGAAGAGTACACCTAGGATCCAGTCAAATTTGGTGTCTGTGAGGCATCATTAGAGGGAGGGGGAGGAGCAGAATTACGTTTAAAATTTTTCAAAGAACCAAGAGGGAGGACACGCCCAAGTGCCACACCCCTGCGAGCCGCCTCCAGGAACCCTTAAGGTCCGTTGGAACTGCTGCGCGCGCACACGCGCGTCACTGAGACAGCCCTAGAAACCCCTCAGCACTGAAGGAACGCGCCAGCAATCTAACGCCGGGTTCCATTCCCTCAGCCTCCGCGAACCGAAACCTGGGAGGTCTTACAGCCCCTGCGCAGTGGGATGTGAAGCCCCTTACCTAGGTTGTCTCCTTAGCAACGTCCTTAGCCCCAAGAGCCGCGCATGCGCCTTCGGGATTGCTTGGTAAACTGCCGCTCACTAGGGAACCTGTACGCCTAGGCACGTGACCTGGCTCGGCTTCCGGTGGAACGTCGAGTGGTGCAAAGGATCTTCGCCATCGAAGTTCTGAGAGAAGCGCGAGGACTAGTCAGACCCCGTGTCCTCCGGAGGCCAGTGTGACAGGATTTGTCGCCAGAAAAGGTTTATCCAGCGTCATTTTTCTCTCTCCTTGAACTTGCTTGTCTTGGGTGTGGGCGAGAAGCAGTTGAGCGATTTTAATGCCTTAGGAACTCTCAGGCGGGGGCCGGGTGGGGTGGGGGGGGCAGGGAGGACATGATTTACGGTGAAGGAAGAGGGAAAAAAGTTGCTGTTCTGAAGAGCGAGTGTACACTTCAGTTTCAGCTGCGCTGAGGTGGAGCGGGTCTGGTTGTTCTGGGCTGGTTCCTACCGGTTCCCACCGCCTCCCCCCGGGGTGCCCGCTCAGGTGAGCTTTTGCGGTTTGGCTACTTGAGTAGTTGGTGCGGACTTTTGGGGACGAGTTTATCTTTTTTCATTTTCTTCTTCCTTGGCGGATCAAGACACTGTTTTTGAGGTTTTGATGGTAACTGATCAAAGATAGGGCAGCCTCGCCATTTTTTTGTAAATACCTCAGGAGGAGAAAGAAAGAGGTAGATCGAACTCCGTCGTTTAATAACTTTGTTGGGGATCGTTTCTCTCCCTTCCTACACAACTCACCCGGAATTCTGACTATTCTAGGGTTTTAAATTGGTTTAATATTTATAAAGCGTGATATTTGCAGGCAACTTTTCTACACTGTGTTTTATAAAGCAAGGGTATGAGCCCAATTCAATGCTGGGCGATGGGATACAGTTTGGGGAGCACTGTCCCCCATCTGGCTGGTTTTGTAGTCTCTGAAGCTTTGTGGGGACAGTAGAAGTGCCGCTTTTGAGAGTCCTGATAGTTTTAAGAAAATGATTCTTCAGCATATTGCCACACAGGTTTTTTTTTTGTTTTTTTTTTGTTTTTTTAATCCTCACCTGAGGAGGAAATTTTTCCTTTTTTTTGTTCAGACAGAGTGGGAGGGAGAGAGAGGAAGAGAGAGAGGGAAACATCGATGTGAAAGGGACACATCGAGTGGCTGCCACCGCACTACCAACCAGGGCCGGGGACAAACTGCAACCGAGGTCCGTGCCCTTTAGCGGGAACCGAAGTCGGGTCTCCGAACCCGGGTCTCCGACGCTCTAACCGCTGAGCCAAACCCGCCAGGGCCACAGTTTTGTTTTAAACAATACTTAAGAGTGGTCTGGCTGTTGTAATTTGACCTGTTTGCTCTGTATTCCTTGTAGTTTTTTTTTTTTTTTTTTCTCTTCTGGTGAAAGGTTGCTTTCATTCTTCACCATTGTGATAAGTTGATAACAGGTGAATGCCTTGTACCTTGGGAGCAAAATCTTCAAATGACTTTTGAAAAATGTATTTGAAATGTCTGTAATGTCTAAAAAATATCTTATAAAAACCAGGTGGCGCCCTGGCTGATTTGGCTCAGCAGTTAGAGCGTGGGCCTGCAGACCAAAGAGTCGCGGGTTCAATTTTGGTCAAGGGGAAGTACCTGGGTTTCAGTTTGGTCCCTGGGCCCAGTAGGGGTCTTGCAGGAGGTGACCAATCCATGTGACTCTCTCACATAGATGTTTCTTCCCCGCTCCCCCTCCCCCTCTGTCTGAAAACAGATGGAAAAATATTCTCAGGCAAGGATTTAAAAACAAACAACAACAACAAAAAAACGGATGGCTTTTTGGTCTTATGTTGTCAAGAATTTAGATTTTCTAGTGTAAAAAGTGAATGAGTTTAATTTTAAGTAAACTGATTTTGCAGGACTTTGAATTTAACGAATTATATTAACTAATTTTGCAAAATCTGGTCATGGTCGGGCTCTAAGAAAATGTTGCACAAAACTTAATTATTTACCTTGTGGGAAGAAGCAAAAGGAAAACACATGCCTGCTCTGAACCAGACATGATGATGATTGCTTAACTGTATGATTTGGTCTTCACAGCCCTGTGAAGTAGATATTATTCCAACTTTACAGGTTAAGAAATTAAGGCACAGAGAGTTAAATACCTGCCTAAAGCAAAATAGCAAATTTTACAATTTGGTCTTGGATTTGAGTATTTCTTAAAGCCCAGTTTTTTGTATTATGCCCTGGTACTTCAAATTTGTTTACAAGAAATGGTTGCTATATCTGCAGTGTCTAGGTGCAAAGGAATCAAATTTATATGTTATGACCCTGAGGATTTGTTGCACATGTGCTCCATGATGAATAGTTCTGTTGGGAGGATGCTGTGAATACCCAATAATAAAATATTAGTAGCCAACAGTGGGTGCCCTTGCTATGCCAGTCATTGTTCTAAGCACTTGACATATATTCATTTAATCCTCATAACTCCATGAAGTTGGTACTATTATCCCTATTTTACAGATTTAAAAAAATATATATGCACAGAGAAGTTAAGTAAGTTGTCCAAAGTCACACAGCTAGTAAGTAGAGGAGCTGGGACCCAAACCCAGGCATTCTGGCCCCAAGCCTAAGTCCTAATGGTATTTGAAGTTGCCTCTAAGGTAACTAGACAGCGTGGAGCAATTGCCCTGAAAGCATGAAAGTGTGAGTATTCTGGTGCTGGGGAAAGCAATGTCACTTCCAGATGAAGTGTGACATAGCACCTTTGCCTTGTGGAGATGGAACTTAAATTAAGCCTTGAAGTTGAATAGGTTCTCTCAGGTGGAGAGGAGGCAGGATATCTTGGAAAGAGGGCATGACAGGAGTGAGAGATTCAGAGTGCCAGATCGGTGTTGATTTGTGAATGGGCCACAGAGGTAGAAATTGAGTGGTAGACACTATACTTGCAGCTTCTGTGTCTAGTCACAGCCAAGTTTTTGCAGCATTATAATTATTCAGTAGGGAATTGTTTGATTGTAAGAGTCTATAACCGTGGTTGGCAAACTTTATCCATAAAAGGCCAGATAGTCAATATTTTAGGCTTAGAACCAGGGGACAAGTGATAAGAGGTGACCTCTGAGAGTGTGAAGGCTGTGCTTTGTAAGGACCTTGTAGGCCTTAATAGGAGTTTGGATTTTATATTGTTATTGTTATAGAAGGGATTCCATTTGATTTGAATAATGAAGACTATGTAAGTAAGGCATATAGACTCTGGAACCAGACTGTACCACGCTTACTAACTATGAGACTTGGGTAAATTATTTAAACTTTCTTTGCCTCAGATTTCTCTTAAGGAATATGGGGATAATAATAGAGCCTCCCCTGTAGGGTTGTCAAGAACACAAAATGAGTTAACGCATCTAGTGCTTAGAACATTGCCTGGCAGAGTAAGCAGTAAAATATCTCTTAGATAGTATTATCTGTACCTTGTGGTGTATTTCATGTTTGCTATAGTGAAATAATATTTAATGAAAAGTTATGTGTATATATAAATCTATAAAACAAAATTATTAGAAATACACTGAGAGTAAAACACCATAGAGTTGAGAAACTTTTAACTCATTATTCTCATTCTGTGCTAGTTCAGGTAGAGGTACAAGATTGTCTTTGTAAGAGCAAAACTTTAGAAGTGACTTGAACATCCACAAATAGGAACTGGTTAAATAAATCGTGGCTACCTACATGGTAGCAAACTTAAGAAGTTGTTAAAGTGACTGCAGTATATCTAAAAGTATTGGTTTCAAAAGACTTCTTCCACTATTGATTACGTTTGCCTGTTTTCAAACATTAGATCGATTGAATCATACACTGTATTCTCTTTTGGCTTTCACTCAATGTTATGGTCGTGAGATTCATCCTCATTGTGTGTAACAATAGTTATCTTCCCATTGCTGTGTAGTCTTTCTTTGTCCAAAACACCACAGTTTAATTGTTCATAGCTATAGTCTTATAATCGGGAAAAATACACAGTCTAAAACAGTAAAATTTGGTTGAAGGTACAGCTCAAATTGGATATAGTTTATAACTTGAATATTTTCCACAGAATTAACCTGCATTTATTTGAATTGAGAGTTAATGCTCCTTTCTTTCTGTTATTACTGGCCTGGCTCTGGATGGATAAAGAGAATTTACGCTCTCATTTACAATCTCCTTTCAGTACCATGATGCCAGCCAGGGTTCAAATCCCTACTATAAGATATAATATGATTGCATTGCACTCCATGTTTTTTCCTAGTTGTAGAGTTAAGTGACCAGAACCATAACCAAGCCTATATAATTCTAGAAGATTTTTTCGTTTGTATTTTATATAAATTTATTTAGGCTTAATATAAAATTTAATTATGGAAGCAGTCATAATCTTAGAGCTGAAATGACCTTAGAGATAATCTCAGCTAGTTTTCCCTGGCAGATGAGGAGGCAGTGTCTTGAGTGATCTGCCCAGCCCACACCCTGGTGGGGACCCAAGCTGGAACAGACTCCTGATTCACATTTAGAGGCCTGCTGGGGTTCCTTTACAAAAGCAGTTAGGAATTGTGTTTTTTTGTTTCCAACATTTACTCTGTAGCCTTTAAATTGTGAAGCATTCACAATTTGGAATTGTGTTTGGTCTTAATTCTTATTCCTACGTGTGGGCAGTATAGCCCTTCAAGTTTTAAAGGTTTTGTTATAAATCATGAACAAGAAAATTATAAAATTCAACCAGGACACTAATTTGAGTTGGCATTGTGAGAACATATCCATACTAAGTTTATTAAGGTAGTGTATAAAGTAACATTTTTATGCATTGCTTTTCAGGAGTAGACGGCTTATCAGTGCTAGGTGACCAAGCAGTTTCACAAATAAACCCTCCAGCAAGTTTAAAAATAATCAGGCCCAACTTGGAGAAGTGAGATTGCTCCTGTTGCACAAAGATGTCTAGCTGCTCCAGTGAAGTCGATGTGGTTTGTATATCAATCTGAAAATAATCTGTACTTGTTCTTTTCATTGTGCTGTATTTCTTTTCTAAATTGAATTTAAATTTACACAGTGAAATGGCAGAGATCGTGTTTAGTTCATGAGTTTTGACAGTGATTTATAAAGCTGCTATGAACACTCATGCACAAGTTTATTTGTGAACAGATACTAACATTTCTTTTGGGTAAATGCTCAGGAGTTGAATTGCTAGGTCATAGGGTTAATGTAATTATAACTTTATGAGAATCTGCCAAACAGTTTTTCAGAGTATTTGTGGTCTTGTACGTTCTGTCACATTCTATATTTCTTGATCCCTGAAGTTGAATAAAAATATAGATTTTTAAGCTATATATAACTTGGCTTAACAGAAAACACATTACTTACATAAGGATGTGGATATCACTGCCCTCTAAGTGATATTGGCAATTTTTTAACTTCTATAAGTCCTAACATTTTTCATCTTTGGAGATAATGTTAACTGCCTACAAAGAGTCATTTTTTTCTGACATAATTATGTGAAAGCACTTGGAGAAGTATAAGGCACAATACAAGGGTAAGATGGTATATTTTTATAGGTACTAATCTATAGCAATTCCATATTATTTTGGTTATATCTTTTGAAACAGACGTGTGTAGCTTTAAAGTATGTTTATTTTAAAATGATTCCTATAGTTCATAATTCATTCTTATAGTAAAGAGTTATTAAATTAAATTTAATGGTTATTTACTATTTATTTAAAATATTAACAAAAATGTTTTAAGGTTATTTAGAGATTAATTTATCAAGAAAAAGGTGAAGGGATTGAGAAGTACAGATAGTTACAAAATAGTCATGGAAATGTAAAGTACAGCATAGGAAATATAGCCAATAATATTTCAATAACTATGTATGGTGCCAGGTGGGTACTAGAAATATTAGGGGGAACACTTTGTAAAGTATATGATTGTCTAACCACTATGCTATACATCTGAAACTAATACAAAGTAATATTAAATGTAAACTGTAATTGAAAAGATAATAATTAAAAAAAGAAGAAGAAAAGCCTTGGGAGAAAATTATGTAGAAATACCTAGAATTGAAGATGTTTTATGATTATTGTTTTACTAGCAATAATTAACTTATGTACTATTAATGAAAACAAATCTTTTTAAATAAGGAAAATAAAGGTTTAATAAACATTTTTTTAAAAAAAGAAAGAAATATCTACTTAAGTGTTTCCTATTTCTTCCACCAAGTGGCACTGTTGGATGGTTTAAAAATCAAAAGCCATGTAACATGGTTCTGTGTGGTTAGAAATATTTGCTGTTACAACAGTTCTAATGCCAGATTATTAGAAGACTAACCTTTCTACCCTGAGGTACACAAGAGGCTAAGCTTGATGGAAATGATGTCTTAAGTGTAGCTGTGTTAATGAGAAAACAGTTCTGCAAGTACATTTTTTCTTGTAATCGTAGTATTTATTTATAGTGAGCAAAGGTCCTTTAATACCTTTGGAGTTTCTTGAAAGTGAACTTGAAGTCCTCAGTTTTTATTTTCAGTTTCATCTTTCATTCTTCCTTTTAATTTATTAATAAATCTTCTTTAGATAAAAACTCGACTATCTACTTGTGATGATGATAATGGCGTTCTTTATGCATATGAACCAAATACTGCATATGTCAATGTAAGTAAATTTTTTTTTTTAATCCTCACCCGAGGACATTTTTCCATTTTTTGTTCAGATAGAGCGGGAAGGAGAGAGAGGAAGAGAGAGAGAGAGAAACATCGATGTGAAGGGACACATCGAGTGGCTGCCACCCTCACGACCAACCAGGGCCCGGGACAAACTGCAACCGGGGTACGTGCCCTTAGCGGGAACCGAACCCGGGTCTCTCTGTACTGCAGGCCAACGCTCCAACCGCTGAGCCAAACCGGCCAGGGCAATGTAAGTAATATTAATTGCCATTTGCCAAATATAGTAACCATTTCCTTTAACCATTTTAAAGGAAAATATTTAAATCAAACCGGCCAGGGCAATGTAAGTAATATTAATTGCCATTTGCCAAATATAGTAAACATTTCCTTTAACCATTTTAAAGGAAAATATTTAAATTCTTCATATACTATAGAGCGCCTCTAAAACACACTCAAGAAGAAAATATTTCTGTTCTGAATATGTTTGCCTCCTTTCATTAGACAGCATTTAACCATTTTACATTCCTCTTTTTCCTATGTAGTAGGAAATTGAGAGCAATGTTCATTTTCAGTACAAAACTCTAAATGTAGGTCCTTCTGAGGTAATAAATACTTTCCTTCCTTTCTTAATTAGCAGTAATAATTTCTATTATCATAATTAATGTGCTTTTATCTCATCTTTGCTTTAGATTAAGACTTCTGAAACTCTAAAAAGTTGGTGAAAAGTAAAAACAATTTAAATAAATATAAAGTGTTTTTTATTCTTTATGTTCAATTTGGCTCTTACAGAAGTAAACCATTAATACTTAACATTTAAAATCTTAGCAGCAAAGTGTTCTGTCTGACACACCCTGTGAAGAGCAACCAAAAACAATTGTGGATGTCCTGAGTCATTGCAAGGTACAAAAGTTCTGTCTGTCAAATGTAGTTTCCTAAAATATTAAGCTGAAATTCTCTTTATCTCATATAAAGTATACATTTAGTCAAAATTTTGCTGTATTAAATTATTTATGATTATCACTCCATTGTGATAATTTTAAATAATTTCTAGTTTGAATACAATCTCTAGGTAAAAATTTCTAAATAGTATTATATAGATTTTGTACCTTTTTTTTTTTTTTTAAAAAGCCCTTATCAAATGTAGTTATATCTATTTCACCTAGATTGTTCAATATTTAATTTCTCCAACATACTCTTTTTAAGGAAATTGACTGATTTGGATGAAATTTAATATGTGCCTAAATGCATATAAAGACATCTCAACTGAAACAAAATGGCAGCCTACCAGTTTTTACAAGAGTATATCTTAATTTAGAGATTTTGTAAAAATTGGCATGTTGGTAGAGATTGATAGACATATGTAATTATCAAAGATTTTGTGAGCTGCATACCCTAGAAGTAATGAACATTTATTAAAAAAAATGAATGTTTCTTAACATATCAAGTGTCTTGAATAAAATGAGCTAATGTACTTTGAAAAGTAAAGAATATTTATGTGAGTCTTTATGATTTTTATTACTGAGAACAGAAGTGGAATGCGTAAAAGTGACATAGGAAGTCTGCTGGGGAAGCTGGACAGAGGGTGGGCCATAGTGGGAGGGACAGCGTTCTGATTTTTGAGCAGGGCTATCCCTGGCCTGCCTTACACAAGCATCCATGATGAGCTACGTGGACACTGCTCTGCCAGGGCCTTCTGAGCACTTGTGCAGGATGTGGTGAGATGCAGCATCTAGGATAAGAAATGCTCAGGTCCCCAAATCACAGCCCTGGAAGGGGCAATAGGGATCTACTGTTTCTCCTAGTGTGCCAGCTCTCTCCTTTCTTCAACTTCTCCCCTTACCAGTCTAGACCACATGGTGCATCACTCCCATCTTTTCTTTTTTATCCTTGCCCAGCATCCTCTCTAGTCAAATCCCAGTCCTGTGCAGACTGGGAAGCAGAGGGGAGGGGGATGTCTGCTGGGACCCTGTCCTCTGCCTGATTATCCTTCAGCAGCTGTCTAGTCAGCTTCCTCTCCTATCCCCCATGAGCTCCAGGCACCCTAATCCTTGCCTCTTTTTTAATGGAGAAAATGGAAGGGGTGGAGCAGAAATCCCCTCCAAGTTCTGATTCCTCTCCCCACAGCCAACAAACTTGCCTGGGATCCATTCCTCTTCTGGTGTCTTCCTCTGTAAGGCTAACACCTCTGCTTGTTTCCACATCTGACCCTCTTTCCCTGTGCTCAGACACCTGCCTTCATGGCTCATCCCTCTCTTGCCCGTATGTTTAGCCTCTGTGCCTGTCACTCTCAGCACATTCTCCCACAGTTTAAAAAAATCACTTCTTTTAGCCTCCCATCCCTCTTTCACTGTCATCCTTCTTCTCTCCTTCCCTTAATAACCCAGCTCTTTGAATGTCAGTTATGTTCACTATCTAAACATCTGACTTCCTGTTTTATCTCTGGGTATTTTTGAATACACTGTTCTTTCTGCCTTGGACGCCCTTCCACGCATCTTTACCTAGTCAACACGTCCTCATCTTTTAATTCTCAACATAGACATTTGCTTCTCTGAAAAGACCTGCCAAACTGGGTTAGATCTTGCTCTTCTGTGTATACTTAGCCTCCTGTTCTTACCTGTGCCATAATAGCCATAATAGTAATATTAATAGGTAATTGAGCACTGTTGGACCAATCATCATGTAGTAGTATTATTGTGTTAGCATGACCATAATAACTATAGCACCTTACTTTGTCCTCAAGAGACTTTTTATCCCAATCATATACATGAGGAAAGTGAAGTACAGAGAAGTTAAGTAACTTCATCAAAGTCACAGAGCTAATATGTGACAGAACTTTAGTATTTAAACCCAACCTTGTTCCCCTAGAGCCTGCACTGTTTACCTCAGTGCTATAGACCAATCAGTGGATCTCACACTTGATCAGGCATCAGAATCACCTGGAGGGTTTGTAAAAACACAGATTGCTGCCCCCACTCTGAGTTCCCAATTCATTAGGTCTGGGATAGGACATTTTGCTTTTCTAGCAAGAGAGTATTGATGCTGCTGGTCCACAGTCCACACTTTGAGAACCACTACTTCAGGCTGCTACTCAATTTTTCTGTTGATAGCATCTCTTGTCTCTCTCTTTTTTTTTTTTTTTTTTTTTCAGCTAAAATGGGAATTCCTTAGGACAGGAGCTGTTTGGCTTGTTTTTTTCTTAATGTCCATGTTTCGAGCATCTAAGGAAGTAGTTCTGACAGGTGGTAGGGTCTCAATAAATGTTTATTGGAATGAGAATGAGAGAATTTGGAAGTGGTTCTGGCCCATTATTTAAGTGTATTTTTTGCCTAAATGGAATGTCTGTGTATTCAAGAATTCTTAGGTTCTGTCAGTCACATACCTGATTGGCATATAGGAGATGGGTACTCAAAGGTTTTATGATGTTAATTGTTGATTGAATGATTTTAAAATGCTTTGAAACCAAAAGTCACTTCTGATACAGCCAGCTCACTGTTCTTTCCAGACTGCAGTACTCACTGCCTATCAGTTCACGTTGTGTATATATGGGAAGAGGTTTTTTGGCTTTTCAGCAGATTTGAAAATTCCTTTCCTAAAATAGTGCCTTCCTTGATGTAAAATGATGCCATCATAAATGTGATGGGTTATAGGAATTATGGGTTATGGTACATTTACTTTGCAGAATTATAGCTTTTTAAAATGCCTATATGACATACAGTAGTTGCATGGGAATTTGAAGTCTCTTATGTCAACCAGCTGGGCTCATTGTCACCAAGGACCACGCATCAAGTGGGAAACAAGACATTTCCTATTGCTTGAGAACTTTCTTTGTTCCTAGCACAATATTTGGCTTAATAGTATTTTCTTATATGTTACTTTTCTTTTGACATAGAACCTGCTAATAGATTGTATTATTATAGGTCATCCAGGATGCTATTCAAAACCTGGATAAGAAGTTTGATGTCATTAAAGGAAAGGTTTCGAAAATTTATCGTTTCCGTTCCAAATTAATCTGGCAAAATCGCGTAAGTGTCATAAAAATATTTTCACAACTGTAGTAAACCTTTGGTTTCTGAAATTGCCTGTCAATTAGAAATGAGAGAGAACTAATAAGTCTGAATTTGCAAGACTGATCTATTCTTACTGTAGCAACAGATAGGAGACTAAACTTCTAGGGAGAATGCTGAAGTTTAGGTTTGAGAAATGTATTGACAGTGGATATTTTTATGTTTGTAACCATAATGTATAAAATGCATTAAAGGGTAGGGTTGAAGAGGAATAAAAATCATATAATCAAATAGAACTTTAATCTTAATAACAGAAAGCAGTGTTGCATGGATAGTAAATATTAATGTATTTACTACTTTATTTACTTGCTTGATCACTCACAGTTGGCTTATTATGCTGGGTTTGTGTCATTTCAGAGGCCACTTGGATATGCATACAAACATTATACTTACCTGCTTTCTAGAAAGATTAAATTGCAGAAAACAAAGAAGAAGGATGTGCCTATTCCTGTTCCTCTCTCTCATAGTGAAAGTTATAGCCCAACTACACCAGCTAGAAGGTCATCAGATAATTCCCAAAGCAACCCTGTAGAAACATATCACCACTCACAGGATTCCCTGATCCAGGATCCCTACCAGTCACAGGGTTCCCCATTCCAGCCTCCTGAGTCATTCTATGAGAACCGGGAGATGCGCCTTAGCCAGAGTCCGATATTTCCTCCCGTCTACACACAGTCATATCCATCATATTACACATCCAACGATCCAGTGCAGCGCTCCCCTTCCATGCCTTGCTTTGGCAGTCCAGGGGCTCACAGCACCACCGGTGTCTTTCCACCTTCCCAAACATCCACTTCAGTACCTGCAGCTGTGCCAGACCAAGGCAAATCTAGTCCGGCACACAACCCTGAGATGATGGCTTACCCAGCTTTGCTGGAAAATGAGAGCCTCGGCCATACTGACTCATCTGTTTGTGCGCCAACTGGCTTGGGTGAGTATAAAACAACATGTGTTACAAGTAGCACTGTTTTCCCTGACCAGTTTTGCTCAGCGGTTAGAGCGTCGGCCCGTGAACCATAGAGTCCCGAGTTCAGTTCCTGCTAAAGGCATGTACCTTGGTTGCAGTTGGTCCCCGGCCCCGGTTGGGATTGTGTGGGTGGCAACCAGTCGATGTGTCTCTCTTGCATCGATGTTTCTCTCTCTCTTTTTCTCCCTCTCTCCCTCCCACTCTATCTGAAGATAAATGTAAAAAATATCCTTGGATGAGGATTAAAAAAAAATAATAAAGTAGCGCTGTTTAACCTATATTCCTCAACATCCTTGGTGCAAGCTAGTAGAAACTGTTCATTTCCCATTTTGAGGGCTGGTTTTTGGTGATATTCATAATGATGACTAACATTTATTAAGTGTCTGTTATATGCCAAATATTGCTAATCAACTATTCTGTTCTCCACTAATACTCATAATGATCCCATTGTGAGTTTTTTGACCTTTGGTTTGTGTTTTTTTTTGTTTTTGTTTTGTTTTACCCATTTCCTTGGTAAATACTCAAAATGCTCCTGAAATGTCTAGAGCCAGGATGATAGCAAAGAAAGGGTACACCTTTAGCCAATTCACACACAAGAAAGATCAAAATTGTATTAATGGTTCTTGGTTAGAGAAACAAGTCTTCCTAGGGAATTACAAAACCCACTTCTGTTATCACACACTATAGAGTGTTAGTGCTCTGGTTGAGTAATGAATACTTGTCTAGACACAGAAATTTCAGCACAACTTAGTGAACATCTCAGCTAAAACTTTTTGAGATATGAGCACTTCAGTTGTCTCATGTCTCCGTTATTTTTCAACATATAAACATTCAATCAAAATAACTATTGCTGTATAATTAAAAGAAAGAGGTATTGAATATAATGTTGATGTTACTTCTGATCTAGCTAAACATAAAATCATCTTGTTTTCTTCAAAATTAAGATAAGTATTTAAGCTTTGAGAGACAGAAATTTAAAGATAAGAGTAATGTTTAAAATATCCATGAGAGCGGGGAGGAGGGTATCAATGAGGGGGAAAAGGAGGGACATCTGTAATACTTTAAACAAAGAGAAAAAGAAATCTGATCAACTTGCCCAAGTCGGGAAAAAAAATACCATAGTGAATATATGGGAGAGATTCAGTAAAGAGCTAATTTAGTTCTAAAAGATAATGGGGTTTTTGAAATTCATTGATTAAAGTGAATAAATTTAAGCAATTATAAAACTAAATTTGGGGAATTTCCATTGCATTTAGCTAGTAAAATAAACCTAATCTAGACAGACCAAGAGGAGAAATATTGAGAGAAATCCATTGAAATACTTATAATAAATTAGCTTAGATTAGCCTAATTAACCCAAGTAACAGATCTTTTGCTGTATTTGCCTGTGGCCAAAGAGACCTCAGATTGCTCACAGTCTGTTGTATGATCTTTGAAGCTTTACAGTAACTTCTGAAACTGGCTTTTATTGTTCAGGCGGAGGTCAGATGGGATGCTCGTTGGTACCCATCCTCACGTTATCTCATCTAAGCTTTCAGTGGATTTTACAGTTGGAGTCCTAGGTCCTTGCCAGGGTACTTAACAGATTGTTCCAGGAATGAGACCATTACTCCATATCTAACATCTCTTCTTTCAGGGTAATGATTAGGTCAAGTATGATTTGTCTTTTTCTCCCATTGAAGCTGCAAGTCCATCAGTTGGAACTGAACCGTGTATGCTAAAACAAGACTTACCTGATGACCCTTCAACTTGGTCCGTAGAGGAAGTGATCCTGTTTCTGAATCAAACAGATCCTCAGACACTCGCCCCCCTTGCCGACATCTTCAGACAACATGTAATGTATCTTTTGATCCCATTTTCCTGGCTTTGAGACCTCTGTGCAGGCTCTTCAGCTAGATGCTGATTAGTGTGGATGGTGGGGGAACTCAATGATTTTTTCATATGTGGGAAAGGTTACTTTGCTCCAAGTTAGATCCTTAAGTGGTAGAGGCTGGAACTGTTCTTGGCATGGGTATCCAAGTAACTAAAATACTACAAGTCTTCAAGTTCTCAAGAGAAGATGATTCAGCATGGTCACTCACTCTCAGGTGTCTTCTCCTTTGTAATGACAGCTGCAACACCCCACAAGGGTGTCCTCCTTGTAATGCTGCCTGATGAATACAGCATCTGACTCCATTTGGCTCAGTTCTGTTAACCTTACAAGGTTTTTGACAGTTTGGGATGCTGATACGGTCGTGTCATTTACGAAATAACATCATGGACTAAATTTTTATAAGTTCTAATTTCTTTAATTTCTATTTTTACATAGTAGAAAAATAATAGAATTTGCCTAACAAAGGCAATACTGTACAGGATTTCAGATCTTTTCAGTGATATATGATTCAGTAAATTTTTATTTTTAAATCAGATCTCATGAAAAACAAATAATATGCTTCAGTAGCATCAGTTGGTTAATTAATATAATGAAGAATTTAACCTGTTAACCGAGCGGGATGTATTTACACGTCCTAGTGAAAGAGTTCGTGCCCGTTATATGCTGCGTAATTAAAAAGGGAATTCCCGGGTTAACAGGTTAAGGAGGATGTCTGTGTCTATCAAGTCATCTTTTTATAGTTTTTCCAAATGGATAAAATTAGTGACCACATATCTGATACATTCTTTTAAAGGAGGTACAGCCTTGCCAATTTGGCTCAGCAGTTGGAGCATTGGCCTGTGGACCAGAGCGTCCCGGGTTCGGTTCCTGCTAGGGGCACGTACTGAAAAAAGGGGGGGGGGTACAAAAATCAGTAATTCGTTTTAGCATTTTTTTTAGCTTCAGACAGCTGGTTAGCTTTCAACATAAGGAAAACACTGTATAGCACATTTACAGTTTGTATTGATGCTGACATACTCATATTCCCAGCCTTTCTAAGACAGTTAATGACCATCTGAAATTCATTTTTACTATTCATAGCTTTTACTCTTTTTGTCATAGCCATGCAGTATTGTATTCAACATACAGTATTTAACACTTAGGACATTTTTTTTTTTTTTTAGGATATTAGGTTAAGTATCCTTTTTCTTAAAATTTGAAGTAAACTTACAAATGATGAAGTGATGCTTCAGCTGTACAAATTATATCTTTAATAGTTTTCATCAAGCAGAAGCATATTCAGAGAATATACAACTGGAATGAGCTGCCCTCTAGTTGATATTACATGTCCTTATATATAAAGAAATGACCACTCTGATAAGATATGAAAGTATTATTAATTATTGTAATTTTCTTCTCTCTGTAGGACATTGATGGGTCAGCTCTGCTACTGCTCCCGAGTGACATTATGATAAAGTATATGGGGATTAAGCTGGGGACAGCTCTGAAATTGTGCCACTACATCGAAAAGCTTAAAGTAGAAAAAGGCATTAATGGTTGAGAAAACATTAATGTAGATTTACTTTATACTTAATTCTGGGAGACCAATGCTATCTTGGTGTAAAATCATTCTGCTTCCCTTAGAAAATTTTGTGTTTCAGAAGGTTCCTTTAAAAACTTGTTATATTCAAAATTACAGAACTGCATTGCAGTTCAGTCTGCTTCTTTAGAAATTATTTAACATATTACTATTTGCATATTTAAATTGGCAGTTTGTTTTTTATATCTTTTTATTGTTGTCATTGTATAGTTTACAAATATACTTCATATAAGAAACAGAGAAACACCATTGATTTCAGTAATTGTTAATGTTTAACCAAAACAGTTAAATCCCAAAGAGAAAGTATCAGGGATTGTCAAGTTCTCTAATGAAATCCATGAGAAGTTTTACTTAGAATTTAAAGATACAACTGCAGATATCATCTCTTTCTCAAATATTATATGTCTATTATAGCAGTGTTCTGTTCATGTTCTACCAGTTTCCAGAAAGGGAATAGCCATGTAACTTATTTTCCTTTTGTTATTATTTCTCTCTGTGTTGTATTTGTTCATATTTAAAGAAAAAAAAAGTAATCTTACAAACTTTCATAAAGTGTTCTTACCAGTTTCTTGATAAATGATAGGATAGAATGATTTTATGCAACAGATCTTATACTTCAAGGGTGGTTTGGCTGGAGTCTGATTATATTCTTTTCCATTAAATTTACATGTTATTTAAAATTTTTTAAAATATTTTGCCTAAGCCCAGATGTTTAGCCATTTATAACTCACATCTTTCTGTGAACGTGCCTATGTCCAAAATTTTTAAGATGCATATTTATATGGATACTGTTTCATATTTATTCTATATCTGAAATATACACACAAGTAAATCTTTTTAAATTTAAAATGGCACTTTGCACTTCTATATATATTGAGATGTTTTTATTCTGTAAAGAATATGAACACTTGCCATCACAAGTACCTCAGCTCACTCTTCAGGGTTTCCACACAGGGAAGTTCTCTGTCCTGTGTATTGTATCTAGTTCATTTGCTTTCTGAGCCATTTATTCAACTCACTTTGGACGGTACATTAGTTTGGATTTGTCCTTTTGGACTTTACTTTAAAAATTAGAACTTTCAGGCAAAACATGTTCATTGTTATGATTTTGTTATTTATTACATTGTTATATTGTATGACATTTGTTGTAATATTTATAAGCTATGAGATTTGGTGCTAATTATATTAGCCATTTGTTGTAAATGCCAATAAATGTTTGCCAGGGGCCAGCACGTGCATTTTCTTTTTAGAAAACCAAGTGTCCTTTACATTTATAAACAAATGCAACTGTTTACTGGGCATATGTGATCTAAAGAGTGGTTTTATCTGTGTTACTCCTTTTGTGTTATAAGACAAGATTCTAATTTACACTTTCAATCTCTCAAATTGTTTGAAGATGCTGTGTCCAGTTGAACAGTCCTCAGGTGTTTACACAAATAATATGTTTTACATTTTTCGGTTTTAAAATATAATAAAGTTAAGTAACTACAAAAAACTAGTGTCAAAGCCTCAGTTGTGATTTGCTTTCACCTCATTGTATTTATGTATGAGTTGGTTATATTGAAAAAGAAGTGCTCTAGTAAGTTTGTGGTTTCATATATCTGTCCAAATACTTGAGTTTTAACACTTGACCTCATTCTGTGGGTGAACAGATTCTTAGGGGCAAAGGGCTGGTCTCTTGTAGGGGCCTTAAATGAGAACCCAGGAGAACAGTCAGAAGTTAAATCAAGGAGTTCTATCTTTGCTCAAACCCTTTGTTACTTGCAATGTAATGATGAAGTGAACGTGCTAGAAAATGCCCTTGCCCCCAGAGACCATCCCATCTAAGTTTATCTGTCTGGCTGGCAATTCTGGCGGCTCCTTTACCACCAGGGGCCAGAAATAATACTACCTCTGTGCCTTCAGTTCTCCCAGCTTACAGGGTTGGGGTTGAATCAAGTTCAGTATCTGACTCCTCAGCCCACCTGCCCCAGGAGCTGCTGCTTGATGCCCGTGAACCCAGAAACTTCCTGCTGTTGCTTCTCAGCAGCCTGTTCTGTAGTTCACTGGAGGTGACAGGGCCATAACTGGCTCTGGGGATGATGCTCCAGTGACTGGACTAGAGCGTCCATTTGCTATCTGAGACTTGAGTGATTCAGAACCATTGTTCTTTACTGATGGTTTATACATTATTAGTGCAGAGAATAGCATCTTATGTTAGCTTCCTGTGAACTTGCCAGGCTTTAAAAATGATCTTTCCTCTAGTATTGCCTCTCAGTCCTTCTTGGACACTCTAGCCAGCAGAACTGAGGAACTCGAGCTTTGAAATCCTCTGGGACATCCAGCATTTGTTTTGCATAATTTCTGATGGTTGTAGTGTCTTATAGGCCATATTCCAGGGAAGAATTTCCCAGACTTAAACCTGGCTGCCTCTGTAAACATGAAAAAGCCATGTCCTTCTGTAATATTATTAGGAATTAAACATTTAACATCACAACTGGGAACTATGAAATTGGGAGGAAAAGCTTTGCTTTTTCAAGCTGCAGAAAGGATTGTACTCAGTTGGCTGAGGAAACGAAGTGTGTTTACATTTCAGGGGCTGTTTCTACAGCGCGATGCTGGGACTTGCTTGTATCTGTAAGTCCCTGAGGCTGATCCAGGGCATGATGGGCTCTAGGAGAGGGAAACTCAAACTAGGGCCCACCTTCAGAATGCATGGTGGACATTGTTCTTCCATTTCCTCTTGATGTTCCTGTTCTTGTCCAGCAGCTTGATGGAATTGAGCCTTGAAAACACCTCTCCCCAGTGAGTAGACTCAGCTTGAACTTGCCCACAGTCCTGCTACATGGCAGGCAACTCTGGTGTTATGGGACCACTTCCCCTGGCTTTAGGAGCGCTATCATCACTGAGGGGAGAGTCTTAAGACATAAAGGGCCCAGCTCCTCCTCTCAAGTTGCCTAGAGCATCATTGAGGTGATTCAACATTCATGGAAAGGAGAGCCTCAGGCTACTTATGATTCATGTGCACCAGCCTAAGTGACTGAGTGGTAAGTGTCATAATAGTTCAGTTATTCTGTGTCCTGCTGTTCAGCTGAAGAACTAAAATGCTAAATTAAGCTCATTCATTGGGAGAAGTAAACCCAAGGGGGAGGCCAAGGCAAGGTTATGGCCTCTGGAGACCCCGCTCCACCTTCCGCCTCCTCACTCCACCAGCCTGGGCAGGCCTGGACTACTCAAGTCCTTTGATGTGTGGGGGGTGGGGGGGAGTCATACTCCATGACACACAGAAGTCAGTCCATTGGGAGCAGATTGACCATGTTGCATGTTATATTTGTATAAGATAAGTTAAATGTTTTGACATTTAATGTATGGATTGACTAATGTAAAGCGTTCTGAAGTTCTGGGTGGTGGTGACAGTCGTGACCACCCTGGCTCAATTTGTCCTCTGTGCTTATAGGTACAAAGCCTGGAAGTAGCATTTCTTACACTCCATTACCAGTGGGGTGGGTTCAATTCTACCATGAGTAGAAAGGAGGAAGGTAAGGAGAAACAATTTTCCACTGCTTGCTGCTCAAGACAGGCCTTTGTATGTCAGCAGAAGGCAGGTGTGGGTTTTGCCAGTCCTCTGGGTGTCATCTTGAGATTCACCCACTTCAGTTATGTGGGAAGCTGAATCAAGTGAGGGAGATTCCCTGCAATCCTGCATTCCTGGATCTCTGGAAACTTATTCCCTCGCCTTGGCTCCCTGCCTTGCAACAGCTGGGTAAGCTGCTTCTTTATTCAACCACTTCTGTTGTGAAGGCTTAGAATGGCTTGTGTGTCCCTACTCAAACCCTGGCTGGCAGACCTTCCTCAGAATGTTGTCCTGCCCACTGTTCGGAGGGAAGGGTAGAAGTTCCACAGGGAGGGGCTTTTATTTTCCCCTGATTTAAAAAAACCAGTACATTTAACCAAATGTAAAACTTATTTGATTATGAGATGTGACATTGTTTTATGAACCAAATAGGAAGGAAGAATGCCACCTGTTAAACTATCACCATCAATTTTAATATACAACCAATTTCACAGATGTTAAGTTGTGAAAAAAAAATGGGTGGCTTAAGATGCATACGAAGTTAACTCAGCCCCAGCCGGTTTGGCTCAGTGATTAGAGTGTTGGCCCACGGACCAGTAATTCATGGGTTCGATTCCAGTCAAGAGCACATACCTCGACTGCAGTTTGTCCCTGGTGCTGGTTGGGTCATTTGGGAGGCAACCAGTCAATGTGTCTCTGTCACATCGATGTTTCTCTCTCTCCTTCTCTGTTTCCCTCCCTCCCACTCTATCTGATGATAAATAGAAAAATATCCTCGGGTGAGGATTAAAAAAAAAAGTTAACTCAAAAGCTGAACTCAGGTAATTTATAAAGACCAATGCAAGAAACCAAGAAGTAAAGACTAACAACGTAAGCCCAAGTGAACCACAAGAGAATGGCTGAGCTGGTCTGAGATTTGTAAGAACCAGGGTACAAATGAAAACAAAAGCAATCTATGGGGTTTGCCCAAGATTCACAATTATCAAGACTTTGCAACGTGAAAGTCTATCCCCTATGATAAGCAAAAAGCATTGCAAGCAATGCTAACTAGGATGAAGGCATCACAGTTAGCAAGACAATTTCCTTGCATGCAGAAAGGGAAAAAGAGAACAAGCTGGAGTGATTATAGATTAGCACATTCTTAAAGACATACCAGCCAAGTGCCGCACTTGAACCTTGTTTAAATCCTGATTAGAAAAAGCCAACAGTGAAAAGTCATTTATGAGAGTAAGAAAGGTAATCACCCAGTGGCTATTAGATGATATTAAAGAGTTATTCCTTTATGACAGTGGTTCTCATGGTATTATATAATTATGTTTTGAAAGTGGGGTGCCCTTATCTCTTAGAAATATGTGCTGAAGTTTTACAGATGAAATGGTATCTGGGATTGTTTTGAAAGAATCCAGCAAGCAATGGGGTGTAGATGGAATGGAATTAGCCCTGTGTTATTTGTGTATGCCAGGTGATGAATACATGGAAGAGCCTTATACAAATTTCTGTATTCTTATGTATGTTTGAAAATTCCCAAAATGAACAGTTTAAGAAAAGTAAATGAATACAAAGCTAATTTTTTTAGAGATGTCTATATTCAAGCAAATTCTGTCTATACAGAATTTCACGAAGTTAATGATAAATATTTATATGCCTTCCTCAAGATTTCTTAATATTAGCTGAAAACAGTTAAGCTGCTTACCACTTAGAAACACTTGTTTTACCTGCTGTGGTTAAACAAGAAAATAAGTCTGGCCAGTGTGGCTCAGCAGTTGAGCGTCAACTCATGTACCCAGGTCACCGGTTCAATTCCTGGTCAGGACACATGCCCAGGTTGTGGGCCCGATTCCCAGTGGTGGGGCATGCATGAGGCGGCCAATAAAGGGGAAAAAAATTAAAAAAGAAAACAAGGTTGAAGTTTTATATATATATATATATATATATATATATATATATATATATATATTACACACACACACACACACACACACACAGTGTATGGTTTCAAGTGAAAATGCATTCCTTAGTCAGCAAATACTATTGGAAGGTACATCGAAAACACTGAGAACTGAAGGAAAGGCAGCAGCCATCTTGCTCTTGCCATGTGCTGCTGTTGGAGGACACTCCCTGGTTCAGATTTACCAACAGCACGAATCAAGAAAAGTTAGCCAATCTTCAGATAGTGGGAAAGGGGACAGCTCACAGAAAGAAGAAGGTGGTACATAGAACAGTTACAGTTGATAACAAAAGACTTCGGATTTCTCTAAAAATGGCTGTGAATAATATAGCTGGCATTGAACAGGTAAACATGATTAAAGATGATGGAACAATTATTTGTTTCAACCATCCCAAAGTCCAAGCTTCCCTTTCTGCTAACACCTTTGCAATTACTGGTCATGTAGAAGCCAAACCACTTACAGAAATGCTTCCTGGAATATTAAGTCAGCCTGGTGCTGACAGCCTAACAAGTCTTAGGAAGTTAGCTGAACAGTTCCCTCGACAAGTGTAGGATAGCAAAGCACCAAAACCAGAAGGCATCAATGAGGAGGATGTTCATGTTCCAGATCTCACAGAAAATTTTGATGAGGCATCAATGAAGCTACTTAAAATCTTTTTTGATTTTTGTAAGCTGGCATGGACTAGATTTAACAAATCAGCTATGTAGTTCTAAAGTTTTACAGACACAGAGAACATCAGCTGTTCCTAGTTCAATAATATAAATATTTTGGATATTTAAAAAAAAGAACCGAAGAAACAGATACCAGGATAAACTACACAGTGTGGCAGAACTGTCAATCTGTTGAATGAAAATACAGATGTTTCTGAAACTCGTCAGTTTATGGCATAATCTCAGTGCTTTTCTGGAAGAATCAATTGTCATAAAGGAAAGACCCTCATTGCATCATTAACACGCCACCCCAAAAGCTGCCTCTTTTCCTCTTGAGCTATCTGGTGAATACCAACATGTATCAGGCCTGGTTTTTCCAAAGTTGTTAGTACTGTCTTTTAATTTGTTTATTCTAGTTACTATTTCTCTAATTTTGTTTGCTTTTCAGACAAAGGGATTCATTTCTTTTCCCTTTTACCCCTTAAGTTTTAAGTATCTCCCCTCAGGGATAATAGCACTCCTAAAACCAGGGAAGGGTGGTCCCGGTCCCATAACACCAGAGTTGCCTCTTGTGCAGTGGGAAGTATGGGCAAGCTCAAGCTGGGTCTGCACTCACTGGGGAGAAGTGCTATCAAGGCTCAATTCCATCAAGGTGGACAAGAGAGGGAACATCGGAGGGAGTGGAGGGAACACTGTCTGCCATGCATTCCGAAGGTGGGCCCTGGTTTGCATTTCCCTCCCCGAGAGCCCCCTCATTCTCTGGGAGAGGACTTTTATAGACACAAGCATGTCTCTTACATATACCAGAAAAACCCCTCCGAGTTCATTTGTGCCAATATACCCTGTTCCCCATGTTCGCAAGCCTCTCCCTCCCAGAGAGTCCACTTAAATTGACATTACGGTGAATGATGGCACTATGAGGTGGATTTCTATACATCATGAATTTCCTGTTGTAACCTTGATAGTTTGCCCACTTTCTAAGAGCATGGCCTTTGATTTAGGTGCCCTAATTAGTCCTTGCCACTACATTAGCAGTTGATATCACAGTTACATGAGGAGCTAGAGTTGGTTTTGGAATTGGAAGTTTTGTGCGACACCCTCTTCCAAGTTTTCTTCTTGTTGAACTGCTGCAAGTAAAGTATCTGCCATGTATGGGTTTTTAGGAAGGTAACATGGTGTCTTAGAATACCCTAGGCTGCTGGCACTAATAGACCCCAAATGTATTCTGTCTTCAATGCAATAGAAGCATATTTCTTGCTCACAATCCCAAGCAGATGTCCCACTTGTCTGTGTTGATTTGGGAACCCAGGCTCCTTCCATCATGTGGCTCCACCTTCTTCTGGGGCCTTGAGATCTTTGAGTCCAGGTAGTAGGGGTCATGGCACACTTCTCTTCCCATTCCTTTTTTTTTTCTTTATTGATTTTTTTTTTTTTTTAGAAAGAGAGGAAGGGAAAAGGAGAGAGAAATAGAAACATTGATGAGAGAGAACATCGATTGGCTGCCTCCTGCATGCCCCCCACTGGGGACTGGGCTCAAAATCTGGGCATGTGCCCTGATCACGAATCAAACCAGTGACCTCTTGGTGCATGGGTCGATGATCAACCACTGAGCCATACTGGCTGGGCTCTTCCCATTCCTTTGATAGGCTCTGTTACATAGCCATACCAGACTATAATGGTGACTAGAAAAGTTTGTGTGCCCAGGAAGATGGGGAAGTGGATATCTGGTAAGTAGCTAGCAGTCTTGATCACACACTATGATCCTAATAACAAAACATAACACATTAATACTTCTTTGAAAATTTTCAACTTCCCTGTTACACTCCCTACCCCAATTACCCTCATACACCTATCTCTTCTAATCCACTCTCCCTGCTTTATTTTCACCATAGTACTTAAGCTTGGGGTTGGTTATGTTATGTTTCCAGTCCTAGACTCCTCCCTTCCATGTAAAAGGATTTTGCATCCCCTCCATTGCCATGGGCCTTGCAGTTCCTCCGTGAAGGCAAAATCTAGTGCCCACCCCTTTGTTGGCCCTGAACCTTGTTTTGGTCCATGGGATGTAAACGGACCTGAAGCACATAAGGTCCCAGTAGGAGCTTCACAATGACTTCTTGATCATCTCTCTCATCCATTCCCCTCTACTATGAACACAGTGTGTGCCAAATTGGGTCTGCTCCTTCAGACTGGATTCTGGAGCAGGATGGCATATGGGGCTGGGCCAAACCACCCCGTCACTTCTTATGGACTATGTGAGCTGGATGTCGAGGTGTGTGGTTGTAACCTACTGGGTTTTGGGGACTTAGTACCGTAGCTCAAAAAATATGGTGAAATATAGCTGATGTACTTCCTGACATTGTGTTTATTTGTACATTAGATGTCTTCCCCGCTAGAATGAATTCTTCATAAGGGCGGCGAGTCTCACTAGCTTGTTTCCTGCTGTTCCCTGTCTCCAGATTGGCACCTAGCACAAGGTAAGGCCCAATAATTTTTTGACTGAGTTGTATTCCTGGAATCCAATTTAACTTGATTTTTTGGTACCCAATTCATCCCAGGCTTTTCCATAAGTATGAGAGTTAGTGCCATAAATTGCCATTTGACCTTTAGATAATCTTCTGGTTGGTTTTACATATATACTGCCAAGCATTGGAGCTATAGGAAGAAAGAAGGAATCATTGGAGAACAGTGTGTCTGAAGAGAATTAAAAATGCTAAAATCCCCAACCAGTCATCTGGTATAATGTGACATCTTGCTAATGGGAGCCTAGAGAGTGTCAGTGGCATGGAGGAAGGAGGGGGAGTGGGCCTGGAGGAGCGGGACAGAATAGAGCCTACAGAAAAAGATGTGTGACCCCTTTGACAAGCAACATGGAAGCTAAGCCATCTCCCCACCCCAGAAGTCTTGTCAGGATTGTGGATTTTCCACCTAGTGCTGCAAATCATCAGGACACCTGCTTGAGCCCCTAGCTGCCTGTGTTAACCCTCCCACTTTTTCAATGGCCTAGGACGGCAATTTTCAACCTTTTTCATCTCATGGCACTCATCAACTAATTACTAAACTTCTGAGGCACACCAAAAATATATTTTTTGCCAGTCTGACAAAAAATGGGTATAATTTTGGTTCATTCACATTGTACTGCTATGGTTGTGTTAGCTGTTGTCATTTTTTAATTTGACAATCTAACAAAAAAGAGGTCAGTGCCCCTGATCCAATAGTCAGGTATTGCAGGTTTTAAAAATTCTTGCGGCACGCCAGTTGAAACCTGCAATCCCTGGCCTAGGATGATTAAAACAAACCTGGCGGGATGGGAGTCACAAGGAAGGAAAACACAGAGTGGTAACACGCCTTCCTCCTCTCTCCTTCACTTGTTTTTGTAGTAGGTAGTATATGGGTTTGGGTGCTCTAACAAAGAGACCCCACATCCCAGGAGCTTCACAAAGATAGAAACATATTTCTCTCTTGTTGCCATGTTGATAGTAGAAGGTGTTCCATGTTATCAGGGATCCACACTCCTCCATCTTGTTCTGCTTTCCTAGGCATGTGGCTTCCATCTCTTGGCTCAGTGCGGTTGCTCTGACACCTGCCATTCCATTCACATTGGCATACAGCCACTCCTAGCCTCTGGGGAGTCTTTAGCTAGGAGGCCCTATGCTAGACAAAAGGCTCTTAATCTCAAAATAGGAGGCCTGACTTTGTAGAAAACCAGCATTCTCTGTCTCACATATATTTCATCATCATTCATGTAAAGATAACAGTTGAAGCTTAAGTGGTGGGTGAAAACTGTAAGGTAGACAATGTGATAAGGCTGAGTTTTGTCAGTAGGTTCATAGCATGGGAGGCTGGGCCGCGGTGGATGGGCTGTAAAGGACAGGAACTTGAGAAGAGTTAGGAGGAATTTGTAACTGGTGGCCCCTTCAATGTAATGTAAAGGCAAATGAATATTAAAATTGGTTTTCAATTATTTTTGGTTTCTGACCTGTTTCTTTTTCTCTCTCTTTGGTTTATTTTCCCACCTGCAGGGAGCAGATTGCTCCAATTTTGTCCAACCAACTACTCTGGCAGTAAAGCCTCAGCATTTCCCCCTTGCACAGCCCCCATTCCCCACCTTCCAGGTGCCAGCCGGTGCCCCCTCTCCTCTATGCTGCGGCCCACCACCCAGCCCCCACCCTGGCACAGGCACCCCCCCAGTGCCCAACTCTGCCCTCAACCCAGCCTACTTCCCTACACCTCCCCCCACTGCCTGTCCCCAACCTAGCCCCCACCCCACCTCAGTACCCCTCTCTGTGCCAGGCCACTGTCCCCAACCCAGAACATATCCTACCCTACCCCCACTGTGCTGGGCCAGAGACCCCCATCCAGCCCCAACCCTGCACCGGTGCCACCCAATACCTGGATGCTGGCCCCAACCCAAGCCCCCTTGTCCCCCACCCAGCCCCCAGCCCGCCCAGAGCACGTGCTACCACCCTCACCCTAGAGCAGGAGACTCTTCTCTACTCCCCTCCCCAGAGCAGGTGCTACAGTGCCCTTGACCTATCTCTTTGAAAGCCTCTCCAGGTTAGATTGGACATGATTTTGTGTCCCAAAATTAGAATAAGAATTGCACAGAGAGAAAATCTTGTGGGTAATTTTTTAAATTGATTTTAGAGAGAGTGGAAGGGAGAGGGAGAGAGAGATAGAAACATCGATGAGAGAAAACAATGATTGGCCGCCTCCTGCATGTCCCCCACTGGGGATCAGGCCCACAACCTGAGCATGTGTCCTGACCAGGAATTGAAACAACGACCTCTTGGTACATGGGTTGATGCTCAACCACTGAGCCACACTGGCCGGGCCTTGTGGGTAATTTTGATATTTCGGAAGTGAGTCCAGCAGAGGTGTGAATGGAGTACAGAAGGGATGAGAGAGATATGAGAATCACACTGTCACATCTTTCCTCCAGCAACTGGAATGTTTTGGTGGCCAAGGAAAAAGAATCATAGCTAAAGGGATGCAGTAAGTCTTCAGCCACAAGTTTTGTTCTCCTTTGGGGTAGGTTGGCCCTGCTCTTGAGCTCTGGTCAGGGGAACGGACCTGGGGCTTCTGGTGTGTAGACAGAGGGCTTGGCCTCGGGCTCAAGGAACCCTTCTCTCTCTCTCTTTTCCCTATTATATTTTATTGGTGACAAGAAATATGTCTATCTACTTCTTGTTACTAGAGAAAACTTATATTTTCTTTTTTTTAAATGAAAAGAATTTATTAGAGTATGTAACTAATTATACATGCGAGCATGCATTTAGTATCATACCTAGATTAGAAACTACAAAATTTAGTGAGCACTTCTAGTGTAATGTATATACAGTGTCTTTTTTTTTTTTTTCATGGTAAAAATCAATATGTTACAATGGTTTAAAACCTGTGGGTCGTGAACCCTTTGGGGGTCGAACGGCCCTTTTACAGGGGTTGCCTAAGACATAACAGTAGCAAAATTACATTTATGAAGTAGCAACAAAAATAATTTTATGGTTGGGGGTCATCACAACATGAGGAACTGTATTTTTTTTTCATTTTTTTTTGGAAAACATATTTTCTCTGAAATATTCACTTTATCCTTGATGGTCTGAAATTTATTTTCTTATTTTTTAATTTATTTAAAATTGAGTTAATTGGGGTGACATTGGTTAATAAAATTATATCATTTTCAGGGGTATAATTCTATAATACATCATCTGTGTATTGTATTGTGTGCTCACCACCCTAAGTCAAGTCAAAAAGCCCTTCTGTTTACACCAGCGATTGTCAACTAATTTTATGTCATGGCACACAAACTAATTACTAGAATTCTGTGGCACAACAAAAAATATATTTTTTGCTGATCTGACAAAAATAGGTATAATTTTGATTCATTCACACCAGACGGAAATTGTGTTGCCTGTTGTAATTTTTTTTTTTTATTTGGCAATCGAAGGGAAAAGAGGTCAATGCCCCTGAGTAAACAGTCAGGTATTGCATGTTTTAAAATTTCTTGTGGCACCTTGGTTGAAATTCGCTGCTTTACACCAGCAGGAAGGAAGAGGAACCGGGCTGGAGTAAAGATGTTCGGAGGACAACTTCTCTAGAAGGAGATTAGAGGCTGGAGGACTGGCTGAGATGGACTTCACTTGTGCTAGCTTCAGGCTCAGCAGAAGGAGGAGGCTTGATCTGCTCTGGGTGGAAGTCTTGGGCCGGTCAGGGCGAGGGTGCAGTGGTCATCAGCCTCTCTTGGTGATGGAATGAGTCCTGGAGCTGGATGGGATGTTTCTGAGGCTTCTGGAGCCATCCTGGGCACATGCACGTAGTGGGGCAGCAGCCTGGGAAACCAGGGAGGAGGAATCCAGGACGGACGGTCAGTACACACACTTAAAATCACTATAAAATCTGAATTTAACGGGAGAGGATGACATTATAGAAGGTGACCTTCTAAGCTCCATGGCAAGGGCCCTGGCGTGGGGGTCTGTGTAGGCCACTGGCTGTGCTGAAGCCCCATGTCCTCAGGCCAGGAGCCTCCTGAGCCACCCTGGCCACTTTCCTTGTCTCTTTTTGGAGCATCTCCTGGGTGCAAGAGCATCAGAGTCTTTCCAGGTTTGTTACAAAGAGGTCTGAGATAGAAAGATGTATCAAGGGACAAGGGCTTAGATAGACAAACCCTATGGGCCAGTTTCTGTCTGTGTGACTGGTCCCACTGCTTTAGTTCTCGGAGTCTAGGGATCACCCATTCCCCTAGCGGTGTGAGAATTCAGGGAGATGCAGCTGAGGAAGCAGCTTGACAGAGCCAGGGCTGAAAGTGTGAGCTCCTTTATTCCTGCTTTGTTCTCCCCTCAGTCCCTGCTACTGTCTTTTCCACAGCTCACCCCATTATACGGGAGCCCAGGAAGGCAGCTGAGTGGCTTGATGTTAAGGAAGATTTTCAGTTTGTTCTTCGGATCAATTGCAGCATGGCTTCTGGAGTTACTAGCAGTTCACTAGCTGTGCAGTCTTGTCCCTGTTTCCCTTTCTCTGGAGGATCACGGCCATCAGTATGGATGGCTCCACACAGTGTCCTGGGGTAGGGTCATCACTTTCCCCTAACAGTGGAGGCAGCTTCATTACTGGCCTCTGTCCCCATTTTATTCACTTCTTCACTTGGGAAGTGGGGGATTTTTCTAATTGGTGATTTTGGGAAGAATAACTGGCTACATCTGTCAGCTGTGCCTTTTCCTCCCGGGAGAAAGACTGCGGGCAGGGTGGGATTCCTGGGTGGATGAGTCCAGTTAACACTGGAATCCACCTGCCAGCTCCTTGGCCTATCACTCTGAGCTATGCCTTCCAACTTAGGTCTAGTATGAGGAAGATGTTATTTTAGCCTCCATCTTCAATCTTTTATTTACCAACATTTCACAACCTGGGAGCAGGGGAAAGAAGGGTGATATTTACTGCAGTCCCTTTGAACATCTCAACACACAGCATAAAGTAGGTATCA